AAACCCGTAGGCAGTAGACAGTCCCTACACGAAGATCTTGGTGGGCACGGTTCATTTCCTCTTGACAGATTTTCATTTGATGTGTGAACTCTTCGCGTCGTATGTATTCATGGAATTGAGAGTTCTGAGTCTGCAACAGATAATCGATTTTGGTGAACACACTAAAAAGACGGTCGACCGTCAGATTCGAGGAGGATGTGATAGGATACCCACAGTATGAAGTTAAGAACATGGGGCTTCAATTGCTCCGTCACTAGGTCTGGATCGATGTCGATGATCGTTTCCTGGATATAGAGGAGGCTTGTATGACATGACTCCAGTATTCGTTCGCACTCTTCGCGATTTGACTAAATAATCGTCTATGAGGAACGCAAAAAGGATTAATCAGATGTAAACAACTCACGTCAACATGATCAAATGACTTCCATATTTTAAGTAGGACCTTCATAATTTGCTGGACACCAAAACACGGGATTCCGGCCAACAACTCGACGCCATTTTCCAGAGCGTCCCGCGTCCCGTCAACTGCGTTCCCTAAGACAGCTCTCCAAATGCGCTGAAAAAGAATTATAATTAAATATGCGTAAAGCAACGACATAGACCTACCCGCTTCGTTTTCACGAAGTCCTTCTTCCCCGTGTCATCGAATCCTTCCGAGAATTGTGAGTATTCGGCATTCGATGATGAGAAGTAATAAACCTCTAGCGTGGTACATTTTCTGGCGAGTGTTACTCTTGGGCATGTTGCACGGTGGTCGAAGGTCGTTACCTTCAAGTGAAGAGGCGTTGTGTGGGGCTCGTTCAGGTGGGACGAGTAGGCTGAGGCGTAGTAAACAGGAAGGTAGCAGTTATACCTAAGAATTCGATTAGATTTTAAATGCATAGGTTAATATTACAGCACAAGATGACGTCGAGGGCACCTTTGAAGTTGGAACGACCTCGCATGAGGTGACGATCATGTCAAGTTGGTGAGTCCAAGGTGGGTCTCCTATCGTCGAGAACCTCTCCGCAGATGCAATGTGACTCGGCCTACCCTTAACCCAAGCTTTTCCCAAGCTCATTCAGACGATAAGGTCTTCAAAGGGTAAAGCAGAAGGTTGACCACGAGAACAGCGCAGTCGTCGCGACATTTGGTCAAAGTCGCAACAAAAGCGGATGTCTCCGGAAACAACCCGTATTTGGCAACGCACTCTGGAGCAAACATGGTCCACGTGGTACCTATGCTTGGAACCACGCGTACGATACGGGTAAAGGTGCTGCAAGAGCACTTTGACTGCTTATGATGGCGGGCACGGCAGGTGAGGTCCACTCGCCTATTTCTGATATTGGCTAGCTCAGAACGTGTCCTGTGCGGCAGTATCAAATTCTACTATTCGCTTCGACTCACCAGGTTCTTAAGAGGCGTAGATTCTCCACTCCTCAATCCTCTTGTCATTGACAGAGTCTAAGGTGGAATAAAAGAATGAACTTCGAGGATCCAAGTTGCTGTGGTTAGAGGCTTGGAAGGGTTCGGTTTGTCCAATCTCTTCGGTGAGCTGTTACGTTTTCACCGCAGGTCGTGGTGCAGTAACCCCCTGTAGAAGGACCCTTCCACTCTCAGCGCTTATCTACATTGACCGCATTCTAACGCCCTCTCGCCTTCACCGAATTTCCGGGTGAACCTAACTCAGTTTATATTGCCGGTCAATCGTGAATGATTCGACCAGCGCCGTCCTCGCCGTCGGAGGGAGGAGTAACCCATGTCGGAGTTTTGGCACGTCTCGGGAGCGAGGTCAACCTAGCGCGCAGCGACAACGACACCATTCCACGTGTGATACATGGGTCACCGGACATTTCTACCGCACCCTAGGCACCATGAATCCCTCGCGTCCCACCTCTCCTAAATCTTCCCCTTCTTCAAGGCCCCAATGCTCCTCATCTTGTCGATTTTAGCGTTCAATGGAGCTTGGGCAGCAAGTATACCGAACTCGACCTTCACTTCACCACCTTCCCCTAGCCCTATCGTTCAACTCATGACTACCAAAGACGCCGTTGGGTGTTCGTGTCCCGATGCAACGGACTCTACCGCAAGAACACTCGTTGCGGTCGTTCAAAGCTGTTTATTAACCACGGCCGCATGCGTTTATCGTGCTATACACCCCAACATTCCCAATCCACACGCTTCTAGATGGGAGTTACTCAAAGATCGAATCATCGTTTCCTTTTACATGCTCGTCTTCCCCGAATTCGTAATCTATTGGGCGATGGAACAGTGGCTTGGGGCTCGTAGTGTTGCAAAGGAGTTTAATAATCTCATTCCCAGTTCGTGGTTCTCTTTTCTCGCTTTTCGTCACCTTCACGACTAAGGATTCATTCACAGGCTTAAATTGGACGACCGTTCACGGTCATTTCGCCCAGATGGGTGGTTTTTGCCGTGCAGACACGAGATGTGTCATATCCTGCAACATCCTCTTCGATCTCATTGAAGGAGGTCGAATCGATCCCACCGACCTTCGTATTCCTGAAGCCGCCTTACGTGACCGGAGTAAAGGCGACGCCCTTTCCAAAGGCCTCCTTACACTCCAAACCTCCTGGTTCGTTATCCAATGCCTAGCACGCCTCGTTCAAGGACTTCTCATCACCGAATTAGAGGTCGTCACCCTCGCTTTCGCCGCCCTAAACCTCATGACCTACCTCCTTTGGTGGAGTAAACCCTTAAATGTTCGGTGTTCCATCCCGTTAACTATCCACGATCCTCCTTTATCACTCCCCACCCCATTTGCCGCATCAGAGAAGGCGGCGTCAGTGACTGCAGCTGAACAGCGGATGGTATGGGTCCGACGAACGTTGGAACTCATGGACTGTTGGACAACCTGGGTGTGGAAAGCTACATTCGGCTCGCTATTCGGTATCATCTACCGGAGTATCACCGGCCTTATCAAGGATCTCAAGGAATTGGGGCTCCTGCTCACAATTCTTGATGGTATCCTCTGTCTTCTCCACGGGATGTTCTGCTGCCTTGCCTCGTTCTTTTCTTCCCTGGGAGAATTGTTGAACGAAGGCAATATAATCGCGGAGCAGAATAACCGAGTTGACGCCTTCCACATTGGACGGTTTTCTCGGGCAAACCTAAAGGATCCCAAACTGCGCGATGCATTGCTTTATCCTGGTATGCTCGTCGGAACACTGTTTGGTGCCATACACTTCATATCATGGAACGACGAATTCCCCAGCACCCGACAACAAGTTCTATGGCGGATGTCCACCGTCTTTATCACTATTTTTCCGTTTGGGGTGTTCATCATCGGTGGTACCTTGAGCTTTGGTCGGACGCTTTCGTCAAAATCGTATTGGCTGTCGTTTCTGTCGGCCATCGAGTTCTTTTTCATCGTTGTCACGATTTTATTGTATTCATTCGCTCGTCTTGCTCTTACCATACAGGCGCTCTTGGCTCTGAAGCACATACCCGCAGGTGCGCTCAAGGATATTGACTGGAATAAATACATACCTCACCTCTAGTATCTCTTTCACTTCTCGCATTGACCAATGACAAGTGGCGTTCATTACCTATTACTGTATGATATATAAACTAAGTACTTGTCGAGGAGTAGCAAGGTTAAAAAAGACTAGAATAGAACGAATCAAAAGTCCGTAGAGATATCGCAGTCCTGGACCTAACAAATGGTCGCGACTTTCAACTCTGATAAGATAGGTAACGCCCCCGAAGACAGTCCGCGGATTCGATTCTGCAAGTAAAACGAATCGTTAACCCCCAAAACCCTCAACTCCGCCAACATCGGCACCCGTTTCAAGAACGTAACAAACTCCTGCACATCCAAATTGACATCCTTCAACTCCAAAACCTCCAACGGAAAAGGGTCCCGTCGATGCAACTCCAACAACACCCCCGAAACCGAACTATTTATCAGGGTTCGTTCGATCTTCGGGTCACCTTTCATATTCAACTTCGTCAGGGCTGGGAACTTGAAATGTCGTATCAACCATGCGAAATCTGTGCTAAGATAGCCCAGAGTCAGTTCTTGTAAGTGACGATGGGAGATGTTGGATATAGGCGCCGGCGCCAGGATCTCCTCTCCACCAAAATGCTTCACCGAGATCGTACACCGAACGAGATTTGTTGCGGTGCAAAAAAGGGTGTACGCCAGTCCTGGCAAAAGGCCGTGTCCCTCGAGGACCAGCGCTGTCAACCTCTTCACCGACAATACCTCCTTCACCACCTCCGTCGACTCGAATAGCCTCCCAGAAACCGTCAACTCCTTCAAAAACTTCGAATCTCTGAAGGCGCGGGGGTAGATATTCAGAGGTGACCCAAATCTCCTTGGAACGAGGGATAACGAGCGCAATTCTGGAAATGAGTGGGGCAGGTTCTGAAATAAGTCTTCAAAATCTTCGACATGGCCACAAAACCAGAACCACGTCAACCTCCGCGAAACCGAAGCTAACAACGGTCGGAAGTGGGACTTGTATAGTCGTGATGGGATTAGGGAAAGCGTTGTGTCGATCTCCAGCTCACAAGGCAGAGCTTTCGAACGCAATAACCAGTGGTAAGCTTGAATGAGCCGAAGCTCTGGGTATTTCTCGTTCAAAGGGAACGAGAGATAAAAGAACGTCCAGAGCGCTGGAGTTTCCTGTGAGATATCTTTCCAAATTGGACAGACTTCTCCGAGTTCTTGAACGGTAATGAGGTCGCGTCGGGAGGTGGGGACATGTTGGAAGATGATGGACATGATTTCGAATGGAAGAACATCGTGGATGATGAGGTGTTGGCTACGACGCCTCGTGAGCCTGGGCCTAAACAAAAGGCGTTTATTGTCCATGTCCGCTAGCGTAGGTGAACTTGGGTAGTGTCGAAGGATTGATGCTCGGGCGGCCATGGCAAGTAGAAAAAAAAATTGGGCGGGCGCTGCCTCCACCGAGGAAGAAGTTGAAGAGTTATGTTGCTAGGGAGAGAAAAACAGACATGGGATGCCGTCCAATCCAGGGTGAAGTGGGAAAAAGGAATGGACGTTCAGGGGATTGAACCCTGGACCTTATACAACATTTCTGATCCGAAGAGAATCAGTTGCGCGCCGAAGACCGGAGTGCAAAGCATACGCGCTACCACTGCGCTAAACGCCCATGGCCAAGGACTCCGCAACTAGCTTTCGTAATCGCTAGGTGGGAATTATCGACGGAATTTGACGAAATCTCCAATTTTTCGCTTGTCGTCTAGACTCGTCCTCCACTATCATGAGCCTTGCCTCTCTACTTCTGCCTTCGGGCTCCAAATCTTCAAAGAAGACGAAAATCATCGACACGGAACTTGATGCTCTGTTTAAAACTCAACCAGTGAGTGATTAACCCCATAGCTCGGCCGTCTGATGTTGATAAAATTTTAGTCCAAACCAAACCCATCGTTATCGACGCCGGTTGTGTTTCATGGGGGAACTGCATCGCAGGCTTCGAAGTCAACTCCTGCGTCTTCGCCTTCCGTAGCGAAGAAGAGGAAACTAGATCAAGACGAACCTCCACAGCAGGTCAAAAAGCCGAAACATCGAAAGACGGTTATCGAGAAGGAGGTCTCCTCCCAATCTACGGTCAAGGACAGGAAGAGGGGAAAGCAGGAGGACGGCGTGGAGGTGTCGAAGACGAAGAAAAAAGGTCGCAATGATGACAAGGCCAAGCTCATCGAAGAAGACAACCTGGAGGGGGATTTGGATGACGACGAAGACGCCTCAGATGGCAACTCCGACTTAGAGAACGCGTATCATCGGGCTCATCTCAAGAAGCAGCCGTCTGCACCTTCGTCGAAAGCCAGACCGAATACCGTCCACGACATGGACGAATCCTCGTCGTCTGAAGCCGTGTCGGACCCTTCTGGGTCAGAGGTTGACGGTGGCACATCTGACGCGTCCACGTCTGCATCTGCCTCTGATTCTGAGTCGGATGGTGACCCATCTAAACTCGTTCACGAGACTGTTGCTTCGCCCAAGAAAACCAAACCCTCCCGGAAAAAGACGAAATACGTTCCTCAAGATGAAACCCCAGAGCAACGAGACCTTCGTACGATATTCGTCGGGAATCTCACCATTGAAGTCGCTGAAAAGCGGGTACGTTCTGCGCTCTACACATTCATGCTTCTTTCTTACTTTTTTTTTCGTGGTCTAGTCCGCTCTTAAACAACTCCACCGCCACATATTATCTGGGTTACCCAACGCCAAGATTGAATCAACACGTTTCCGTTCCATCGCCTTCCAAAACCCCACCGCAAAACTCGCTGATGAGAGTACCACTTCTTCCAAACCTTTCCAACGCTCCAAGCCCGACGTTGAACCCTCCACTCCCAACCCCCACTCCCGTTCTCGTGCCGCGTCCTGGCGTGAACGCCAATCGGGTGCTGACGCAGAAGATCCTACACTTCTCAAACAAGACGAGAAGAAGTACCTTACCCCCGCTCAAAAGAAGAAAGTTGCCTTCATTCACCATGAATTCCACTCTTCCGCATCTACCGTCAACGCCTATATCGTTTTTGCCCACTCACCACCTTCTGCCCCCACCTCCGACGATGAAAGCAACACCCCTCGTGTTATGGACCCCTACGAAGCGGCCAGGAAGGCTGCTGAACTTTTTGACGGGTCCATGTTCATGGAGCGTATGATCCGTGTTGACGTGGCACTCCGGGGAAGCGCCCGCGCAAAACTTAAGTCCTCGTTAGGCGATGTTGGAATGGGCGCTGCTGACCCCAAATTGAGTATTTTCGTGGGGAATTTGGACTTCGAAAGTCGGGAGGAGGATTTGAGGGTATACTTCGAGGGCGTCATTGCTGCGGAAAGGGGTCCACCTGCTGATGCTATGGAGAGTGATGACGAAAACGAGGACACGGAGAACGAGAAGGGGACGAAATTGAAGAAACTCAAGACCTGGGTAACAAGAGTTCGGATCATCCGGGATAAGGAAACACAACTGGGAAAAGGGTTCGCTTATGTTCAATTTGCGGTACGTCTTCACTTAGACTTCTTTCAACACTCTTCGGTATCTCATATCGAACTATTTCTCATTCAGGACCGTCAATGTGTTGACGAAGTCCTCGCAATGGAAGAGGGAAAACTCAAATTTGCCAAGCGTAAACTACGGGTCCAACGGTGCAAGACCATACCGGGTGTTTCATTACCCTCAAAGTCACTATCATCACACAAGGCTGCCGGTTCCACCAAATCACCCAATGTCAAAGCCACCGACGCCTCACGCAGAAAACCCATTCCTATCCCTATTCCCGGAAATACTTTCATACCCAAGGGTGATCCCTCGCTGGGCGCTAAATTGGCCGGGTTATCAAAACACGAGAGAAAGGAAGCTAAAGCTACCGACGCAGACCGCATTGCGCGTAGGTTGGCGAAGAAGAAAGCACGCATTGCATTGGGTAATGCTGGTGTCAAAGTAGTTGGGAAGGAATCGGGAGGGAAGACAAAAGAGAGAAAGCGGGATAGGAAGTCAGGTGGTGGCGATGTTGATAAGAAGACGAGGACTAAGATTCAGACGAGTGGGAAAGGCAGGGCGAGGAGTGAGAAGACTGTATCGAAGCGGAATACGAAGAAATAGCAAGTCCGTTACGATTCGTGTGTCATAATGAATTACTTACATTACGAAGACGCAGTTTCTTGCAATGATCACCCGTCTTCTCATTATGCCGTTCCCATTGCGTTAGCGGTCCGTTTGGGCGCTTGTTTCTACATGCTACCTGTCAACACCCTCGGTCGAACTTCAAGCTTCACGGCGTGTGCGTTATTTTAGCCTCATACATCACCATGCCGAGTATCTCCACCGACTCTCAAATACACCACAGGTCGATTGCCAGATCTTAGGCGTTCGATTTGATTCCGACATTCACGAAAACATAACAATGGACTTCGTCAAGTTTTCACGACCTAAAGTTGGTTCCCCACTGGTGCCGAAACCTAAGTTAACATATCACACCGTAGCCCGTACCTGCTTCGTCCTGTTACAAGTATCGGCGTCAGAGAAAAACTGTATTCTTTCCGTACCCTTCCCCCAGTCGGACGGTTGCCACTCTTCAATGCTCTTCGTCCTTCTGCTCGCTGCTATGAACTTCAATATCAACGCGACTGCGCTGCCTACTTATGCTGCCGTTTCCCCGCTATCTTCGCCGCCAGCTCCCTTCGTGGTTGTAGAGTCACCTGGTTGCTCATGCCAAGGAACCTCGACCCGAACCCTCGTCGCTATCGTTCAAAGCTGCTTGTTGACGACCGCAGCATGCGTATACCGTTCCATTCACCCTAACATCCTTGATCCGAAGTCTGGATACGCACGGGTTTTACGATATCGCGCTGCGATCACCTTTTACATGATTCTCTTCCCAGAGCTCATAATATACTGGGCAATGCAGCAGCTGTTGGGTGCTCGGAAGGTTGCGAGGGACTTCAACGATCTTCAAATCAGTGGGTATCAATCGGAATATTCAATCTTCGTTTCTTTACTTATATTGACGTAGAAGGGATGAAATGGACAACCATCCATGGCCACATTGCTCAGATGGGTGGCTTTGGTAGAGACGGGACAAGCGTGGTGTTCACACCCGAGGAGCTGTTGGAGGCGGCTAAGACGGGCATGGTGGATCCAGAACAGCTCAAAATCCCCGTTCAAGACCTTGAAGACCACAGCAAAGGGGACATACTATCGAAAGGACTCCTCACCCTACAAACCTCATGGTTTGTGGTGCAGTGTGTGGCACGTCTCGTCCAGCGTCTCGTCCTCACCGAGTTGGAGGTTGTTACTCTCGCTTTCGCCGTTCTGAACATTATCACTTACCTTTTCTGGTGGAGCAAACCCTTGAATGTCCGAAGCATCCGTTATCTTAAAATCTCCCAACCTCCACTCGATCCTCCTTCGAGACCCCACCCATCGACTTCGACCCAAAAGAGCAAGTCCTGGCCGATTCTGTATTGGGTGAAGCTGAAAGACAACCTTCTATCCATTCCCAGTCATATTAAGGGCTTGTTTCTTTCAATTTTCAACACCATTATCCACCCCATTCCAAACTTCGGCCTTCTATTTCGCCATTTCAAAGCCTCTACCATTGGTTTCTTCCGCTTACTCAAAGAACTCATCGATCTCGACGAAGCTATAACCCACCACAAGGAAGAAAAGGAACCAAAACAGATTGGGCGTTTCTACAGAGAGGAAACACCACACTGGAAGACCCACGTCGCTACTGCCGTCATTCTCGGCACACTCTTCGGTGTAATTCATTTCATCTCATGGGACTCCATGTTCCCTACCCCGCAGGAGCGGGAAATCTGGAGAGTCGCTACAGCTCTCAGCACAGTCTTCCCGGCTACGGTTCTAGCCTTTGGTGTAGTCAGAGATGCCTTCAACACCCACTTCGTCAAACCCAGCCAGGATTCTACGCTGTCTACGTTCACCAAACTGTCGAAGCCCGTCTGGATAACTGGTCCGATCATCGTAGTTTATGTAGTAGCTCGTATCTCTCTCATCGTTCAGGCATATGCTGCCCTCCGCGATCTACCCCCAGACGCATTTATTGATGTCAAGTGGAACAGATTTATTCCTCATCTATAGCATGTCGACAACTTTGGTCCATACAATACCTCCTTCCTCTATCGACCCTACATAGTCTCATTTCCATCACGTCGTACGTCCAGCCCTTTCTCCTCTGAACTCTGTAACAGTACTGGATAAATGAACTCCGAAGAGGAAACTCGAGGCACAATTTCTTTAAATGAAAGCCTGTCTTCTCGTCTCCGTATACGTACTCGTCACGCAATAGGTTGAGCGCTTGTTTTTACAGGTACGTAGTTATCTATCAACACCCTCAATCGAACTTCACGTTTCATTGCACGTGCGTCATTTCGGCCTCGCATTCAGCTCATCTTCACCCTCGTTTATCATGCCTGATATCTCCTCCGATGCACAAATAAGCCAGGGGATCGATCGCCCAGATCATTCGCAGTTTAGGCGCTCGACCTGCTTCTGACATTCAGTAACCGGTAAGTTGCAGTTCGTTATGTTTTCATCGCCGAACCTTCGTTTCTTACTGGCACCGAAAGTGAAGACCTCATCGATTACGCCGTAGGCCGTACCTGCTGGCATCCTACTATAAG